ATAAATTAAATTCTAGTTAACAAAAAAGTTAGATGCCCAAGAAAAGCCCAGCACATATGAGATTTCTAGTAATTCATAATTATTACCATTAAAAAGATCCATAAATGGTGATTTACTACTATATTTTAATTTTTATATTCAGTTTATTCAACATTTCAATGGAAATGGGAAGTATTAATCTAGTCGTCTAAACAAAGTTCTCACACAATCAGGTAGACGTTTACACTAGTTATTAATATCACAGTACCTGACAACCACATTCTTTATTGTTTTCCTTATTTAATGAAATACAGAAAAGACTTCCTGTATTTCATTAAACAAGGAAAACAATATTTACATTTTTTAAATTATTTGTACCTCCTAACTAGTTTTGAATAGCAGTAAATGTTTTTATACAACAAAAGAAGAAAACAAATGTTTAATATCAAAACCTATGAAGGAATGTAAATACAACTAAACATAACTAAAGGATACAAAATAGTGACAATGTCACATGCCACTTTTGGGTCCATAACTGAAGAGTTGTAGAGATTCCATGCACAAAAATAAAAACGATTTCCTAATTTTTTTCTTAAAACTGTAGTTCTTGCCAACAAAACTTCAAATTTTAATTTGTTCACAAATTGTTCTAATTTGCCAAATTAATAATGTATAATCAGAACTTAATCCATTGATATAGTCTTAGTTCTACTTCCAATTCAAGACAAGGAACCAAAAGTTGAGAAACTACAGTACTTTCTTGACCGTCTGTATGCCAAAAATAAAAGTAGCAAGAATTAGTTTTTAACATCCCTTTTATAACATAAAAAAGGTTGCATAGGGATATATATACATACAATATTTAGATTTTATAGGTGAGGCCTTATTTTGTATACATGGTCAAGTAATTTTATAAAGTCTTGATTAATGTACTAATAACACCAATTTAGGAATTAATAAAACTAGTAAAATCAAAGAATATCAAAATGACTTAACTGGTTAAGCCTGAAGTTTTACAGAAATATAAAATGAAACTCCTTTTAACTTTAGCAATGGAATAGAGGTAAAATACACTTGTAATAACTTATTATTCAAGCCTATACTGTAATATAGTTTACAAGAACAGTGACTGGGGTACATCAGACTTTATATTACAGTAAGTGGTTTCTAACGATCAAGAAATACACTGGAAGATGAATGTCAAGAAGCCATTACTTCCACATAAAATATTTTACAACGAGGAGGCTTTGAAATGCAAAGTAAATCACATGTACTATTTCTGAAGATATCTGCCACCAGAACCATCAATCCACTGGAGTCTCAACTGCAATCTCAGCTCTTCTTGGACTTTATATAATTTGACAACAGTGTACAGTTCTAAACATGTGTAAATATACAGAATATCAAACAGCAGAGAAAACTGGCTTTTGCTAAGTACTAACCTAACTGTGTTTGGGATAAAAACGATGTAATTTCTAATTCTCATGGAGAAAATATAAGCAAAAATTCTACTGCCACTATTCAACATTTACTAAGCATGCCCTCAATGCCCAACTAACAAAAACTTATTAAAAGGTAGAAATTACATATAAAATATCAGATGCTTGAGCTGCTTCTATACTACTTCTTATTTTCAAAATAAGCCAAATTATATGAGATGAGTATATTCATCTACCTGGTCAGTATAGCATAATGAATGTTCTATGTACACACATGGTAACACAAAAGGTAAGAAATCCTTCAATTGACTCAGAGTTCCCTGAATATGGTATGTATGACTAACAGCTGAGAGGAAATACAACTGAAACTGTCTACTGAAAATCTATTAAAATCTAAACACAGAAAAATGCCTGGCTGACAGTATAGTTGGATGTGCAAATTTATGTAGGAATGTAGCCAAATTTTTGGCAATTCCCTCCTGGTCTTAGATTTATTAACAATAGCCCTTTCTTTCTCAGTTGTAATGTCATATTTAAAGAACATTAGTTGAGTTGGAGGACGTGCCTGGTCTTTAAAACAAAGAGGCTAAAGGCTTGGATATACAAAGGCATGGAATTTCAAATACAAACAAAAATTTACACAAAAAAAGTATGTTCTACAAAAGCTGACATATGCAGCTCTCAAAAATCAGTACCTCAGAAAAGCTAAGCATACTGTTTTGCATTTCATTCTACATTTGCCTTTGAATACATTCACTATTTTTTAAAATTTTCTGCAAAAATGGTTTATTTGGATCATTATTTCCTCTGAAATGACTTATTAAAATAATTCATATGTTAACACATATGCTCTTAATATACTACTTCACAGATTTATTTTCAGTATTTGCTTGTTCTTAGGAGTAAATTAAGTACTTAACTCCTACAAGTCATTTAACAACCACATTTGATTCTAGTTACTCTGTCCTGAGCCCCTTCTACGCTCTCAATTCTGTGGACTGCTATATCAAAAAACCGAGCATGGTATTTTTTTCTTCAAGAGTTTATAATTCAATATGAGGTTAAACAAATGTATGCATTCAAAGGCACAAATATTCTATAAGCAGCTCTAATTAGTATGACAATATAAAATAAAATTAATTGACCATTTTGAAGGAAAAGTAATTTTTCAGGTGAACAATAATGAGAGGTAAAATTGACACAATACTTTGCAGTTTACTTTGCACAATTCTCATTAATTTCCCTGCATCCTCAGAATACCCCATGAGACTCCATGAGTATGATTTCCCATTTTATTGATGAAGAACCTGATATCCAGAAAAGGGAAGAGACTAAACCAAATTTACACCCTACTTCTCACAGCTAAATCAAAGCTGCCATTGGACCTATAAGTTCTTCCATAAAAGTAATCCAACTGGATCATTATAACAACTCTATTATATAATAATAGCAGCTAATATTCATTGACTGCATACTATGGGGCAGGTGCTATTCTATGCTATGTTAATTTATTCACTCCACACAAAATCCTAGGAGGAAGGGTTCTGTTATTACTCCCATTTTACAGATGAAGAAACTGAGGCTCAGAGAAAATAGGTAACTTGCCCAAGATCACACAGCCAGTAGGCATGAGCATCATAAGTTAAACTCAGAGCCTCTGGTTGCAGCATTAATAATGTTCTTCACCACCAGCTTACTCTTAGGTAAGTTAATATACAGCAGGTTAAGAAACTTGCCCAAAGTCACAAGGAAAAATAAACTGCAGGGAAACAGCAAGAAGATTATCTCCTAACTTTTCACCCTAGTTCTTTTTCTAAATGTAGACTAATTAAAATCATTAAATCCAGAAGGGGCAAAAAGCTTTGGGACATGTAGGTGGTTCTTCGAAGCAGAATATGAGCAGGTAAGGACCACTGATGGAGTAGCAAGGAGAAAAGATTCCATCAGGCCAAAGAGGACTTCTTCTCCACAGATTCAAGGGAAAAGAGAGTGTGATCAGGGATAAGTATATTTGTTATTCTGATTTAGGGAGGACGAATTCAGATGAGTGGAGATGGAAGGCTCTAGTTAAGAAAGTTAGTAAAAGTGAAGCACTACACAGATTTCTTTTGAAAGGAACATCACTAAAAGACTTGGAATACGTATCGTAATGCTTTCAAAAGAAATGATACCCCCACCATAGCTGAAAGTAAAAGGAACACCACTAAAAGACTTGGAATAGGTATCGTAATGCTTTCAAAAGAAATGATACCCCTACCATAGCTGAAAGTACCTAGCACACAGAAGGAAATAATAGAACCACTGAAGACCCTAACTACACATTTTCATTTTTTTAAATTAAGATGTCATGTATAGTTTAGCAATTTCTTTTCATTGTTAAAACCTTCCTGTGGAGTAGAGACTAAGAGAACATAATTAACATAATATCATTTTCATTTTTTTTCATACCATGATTCTATGGTGCTGGTTACTTTACAGATCTTCCTCAGAATCACGTCAAAATCGGATGAAGGAAACTAAAACTATATTCCATGTGAATGGATAAACTAAAATACCAACCTAAACCTAAGTGCATGTTAAAAGTAGAATTTGCAATAAATATGGAAAAACTAATCATGGCAGAGACCAAAAGCAATGATGCCAGGATTTTGGTAAGAATCACTTTTGAAAAGACATATAATGAGGAAAACTAACCTTAATGGAATTTCTTCTCTCATTACTTAAAAATAAACCAGGTCACTGAGATGAGCTTACACTATGGTATTTTGTTCATTTTAATTTCATTAAACCATAAATTCCCATGGAAATACCTTAGACACGTGCCCACAATAATTGGAATTCCTAACATTTCAGCATAAGTACTTTTGCATGAATTCAACAAAATAAAAAGAATGCAGTGAGAGCCCTCCAAGTTTGTTACTAATGTCAACAGCTATTTTACGAGTATGAATTATCTCTGCACCTATAAACTGCACGTGTAAAATACATTACATGAGTCTGTGTGAAACCTTAATGCGGAAGACCAAGTAAAGGTCTGAGCTGCACACAGGAACATCAAAATAAAACTAAACTTCCTAGAACATAGCAATCATAAATTTTTTCTTCCCTAAGCTATTACTGTTAAATATACCTTGATAAATTAAGTTCAAGTGTAACTACAATTGAAATATATGATTCAACTGAGCTATGACCTATTTTCCTCTCAAAAGCAAAAGGGAATTATGACAGTTGTGAGACTTACATTTTTCCATTTCATGGTCCTTCTAAAAGTTAATTTATTCTAGAACTATAAGCAAAGTACACTTAAGTGACACATATTTGCTTTAAAATAGTTATTCATGCCATTGCTCATAGGACAGATACAATTTTAATAGCAATGCATCAAATAATAATTATATCTGTCCATTTATTTTTAAACTGTGCAGACCAAGAGGGATTCAGGAAGGAAATAATCTCAATATGTAATATGATACCTAAGTCTAAAATTCTGTTATAATTACATGATATATTTACATACAACATAACCTATAATCAACATCACAAATACAAAATTAACCAATATATGTGGTTGAAAATACCCACCCCTAGCAGAAAGCTTTTTGGTGTTGATAATTTTGGCAGCATATTCTTGTCCAGTAGGAATTTTCATACATCTTCTCACCACTGAGAATGCCCCCCTGGAAACCAATAATTAGCAGGTCATTAATATAACAGATATAATATTCCATTAAAAATGTATAAAATCTGAGCATTTTAATGTATTTTAGTGTGTTGTCAGTGAAGTACAGTGATATCCAGTAAATGAACAATTCTTCCTGGAAACTCGTACTTTCTTTAATGTTGAAGAATAAAAGTAAATTTCATTTCACTGGGAGCACACATTATTAATCAACAAAATGAAAGGAACTGCCAATTATGACCGTTCTTGTTTGCACATGAAATCTGAAAATATTTTACAGTTCACACTCACAGCACCAAATGCTCTGAGAAAAACCCTGCCCAGAATAGAGCAGAGGAGGAGCCGCAAAAATATCTGCTGCCTACTTGTTTTGGTAGGAAACAAAAATTAATGTGGTTCCAAATAAGTCAACATGGCGATTATTTTCAGTAAAATATAAATCTTGAGCACATTAGTGTGGTTTAACGAGTCTTGGTATAGTGATTTCTCTATGCCTTGTTTTGCTCTGGGGGAAGGGAGATATTTGAATTAAGCTGCTCTTCCGACATATTCTCCATGTTTTAACAGCAGACAATATATACATATATAATTTTCATTACCTTTAAAAAATATTTACCTTTCCTTTAATTACAGTATAAACCAACAACATACATATAAACGCACTCCTTTTATAAAAGTAACAGTCGAAATTAGTGAAAGAGAAATTGGGTTTGGGTTCGACGCTACAAAAATCAGCATTCTCGGCTTGGCCCCTAGGTTCCTTTGCACAAGTCCTCAGTAGGGTCTCCTGTCTCCTTCCCTAACACCTCCAAATAGTTCTGCCAGTCAAGTGAAGGAGTGGCTTTACACAATGCTAGGCTACTCTTAAGAGCGCTCTCAGTCACCAGAGGGCTTTTCCGCTGCCTATATAAATAAATCCTAGAGAATGCAAAGATGCACACGCAATTCCTAGGAAGAATGATGGTGAGCTAGTAATCTGGTGCAAAGAATAACAGTGGCTATAGGGCAAGGGGCTGGTCCTGTTGGGTGGCCCTTTTCCTGGACAGAACAACTACTGGATGCGAAATAGACTCTATGCCAAGTAGAACTTTCGGCATCAATAAATATGGCACCGTCTGAGGCTGTGAGTTCTCATCAGTAGGTGGGTCATACAGCCCACACGCCGGCTAACCAGGAGGCATCCCTATTTACAGAAAACATGATCTATGTTGCATTTTACATGGGTTCTAATTTCCTCTCCAAACACATATTACACACAGGCGCGCGCGCACACTTCTCAGGATGACAGCTACAACTGCAGAGATCGTAAATTCACCAAGTCTCTCAGTGCAGGAGGGTGGGGGAGCGGGAGAAGGTGGGCTAGGGACTATTAAAATGAGCCATAGTCAGGGTAAGGATCCTACCCCTTCTGTGCTCCCTCCCCTCACTAAGCACCTTCCCCAGAGCTGACAAACCAGGGGCCCTCCTCCCACTCCTCTCCCAAACTCCCTCGCCCCACAACGAGGCCCGTGGGTCTGGGCAACGCGACCCGCCCTCAGCTGGAAAGGGGACGTGCAGATGCCGAGCAAAGGCGCTTACTTTCCAAGCTCCTCGAAAAGCTGATACTCGTCCGTGAACCTGGTGCAGGTTGTGGTCGAAGCCATCCTCGGTCCGGACTGTGCCCTGGCTGAGAGTGCGACGGGGGAGAAGAGAGCAGACACGCGGCTAACCCCGGGACTGGCCCCGCGGCGCTGTCACCCAGGGCCGCCCTTACTTTCCTAGTCCGAAAGTAGCTCGCCCTCGAGGGAGTGTGCGCAGGGGCGGGGCGGGAGGAGAGATGACCAGAAAGGGTGGCGTGGGGTCTCCTCCCCACGGTCCGCCGATCCTCCGCCTCCTCCTGCGGGCCTTCTCCACTGGACGGTCCACCAGCCCCTTTTCCTTCCAGTCCCTGTCCCCAAATGCAGGGGGTAAAGTACTCAAGAAGAGGGGGCCGGGATATGGAAAAACAGCCGGGCACGGGGCGAGTGGCGAGCGGTTGCGAAACGATCCGCACTGGGGCAGGAGGGGCAGAAGCGAGGGGAGGGAGTCCGAGGGGGCGGAGGGGGAGTGCAGCAGGGCCGAGGCCGTGGAGCCCGGAGCGGACAGCCGGAGCCCAGCGGCAGCTGTCAGCAAGCTCAGGCGCGGAGCGCGCCGGAGCTCGGGAGAGCGTGCGCGCCCAGGACCGGCTTCCCGTCAGTGGGCAGCAGCGGCTCCGGCGAAGCCAAGCACCTTGGCGGCCTCGCGCTGCTCACGAGCCCGCGCGGCTTCAAGACGGCGCGGCAAGAGAAACAGCGCTCGGCTCGGGCGAAGCCTCCTCTGCCGTCCCCAGGCCTCCGTCTCCTCCCCCGGCGCCTCCTCCCGCCGCTCCCTCCGCCTGCCAGCACCCCTCACAGGCGAAGCCCCCTCCTCGCTGGTACCACACCTCCCTCTAGCGACTCCAAGCCTGTCCCTTCGTGGATCTCTCGCTCTCCCTCCTTCGGTCGCACACACGAGCACACCCGTCTAGGGAGAAACCAGGTGGATGGAGGAGGATGTGCGGGGGAGAAGCCTGGAGGTTTGGGTGAATGAGGCGAGACGTCACAGTTGCCCATTTCAACCCGCTCCCAGAAGCCTCCTCAATCTGGGACTGACTGAGTATAAAGATGCGGGGCAACTCGAGCACGGCCCGAGGCCGCCGCCCAGGGTCATGGAAGCTCACGCCCCTGTTTTGGGCGCTAGGTAGCAGGGACTTCTCCAGGCCAGCTACCGGGCCACGACCCTCGGCGTGGCCGAGTAAGGGAGAGCAACGGCTTCTCCGCGCCGCTCAGTGTTGACACAGCGGGGACCGGATGTGGGCAGTACCTTGCTCTCAGAGAAGGTCCCAACCCTTCCCACAGCCTCCGGCGACTGTCGGGGCGCAACTCTGCCTCAGCAGCGTTCACTGCGTCGCCCGCTCCCCAGCGCCGGGCGCAGGTTTTCTCCCTCCCCCGCAGCCCCTTCTGCAAGGAGCAGTGACGGCCCTGAGCCACATTTCACTTAAGATTTGACTGCCACCTCCAGGCCCACCTCCCCCGCTGTTTTCCAGGATGGTGGCTGAGACCCTGGCAGTCCCCAAAGGTCTTTGCTTTGGGTGTGAACGTTAAAAGAACGAAAGCAAAAACTCCGCCACTCAACCACACCTTCTCTTCCCTTCCCTTCTGAGTAACTCCCCAGTAACCTCAGTAAGTTCTGATAGTAAGACGGGTTCTCGCGAGATTTCCCACTCTGGCTGACGGGGCGAGGTAGTAGGAAGGTTGGGTGTCGGTCACGCGACTCGGTGGGGGCTGACGTAATTCACATCACGTGAACATGTCTAGCCTGTTTCGCTTTGCAAAGGGAAAAGGAAAAGAAGAGGTTGTGTGTGCTTTGCTTTCGGCCAGATAGTGGCAATTGAGTGCACTCCGTAAATGGCTATCTGAAAAACCACTTAGCAGTTCAAGAATGTGTCCTTCCCTTTAGCATATCTGCCATTGTTTTAAGTAGGAGGGAAAAAAGTATGCATTACGTTTAAAGTAGATAAGTTATTGCCGATTGCTAGAACAACTTCTGGGCCCTCTCTCCAGTTCTCTTTAATAAAACTATGCAGTTACAAATTTAGATGCAGACCGAAAACAGCGTTATGGAAGATCTTTTTCAAATTATTGCCTTTTGTTCTATACCACGCAACTATAAAAACCTTGCAATCCTAATGCTAATTTGCTCGTCTTATTACTTCATGGACTTAAAATTTCACTGCTGAAAGATAAAAGATAACTTGCAGATACAAGAGAATCTAAGATTTAGAGGCGCTGTTGTGTACTCCCAGAGACTGCTCTTAATTAATGTTACTTTGTGGTCACAGATAATCCCAATTCCTTTATTTCCTGATCTGAGGGACACTTCTGCCAATGACTAAGCTTTTACTGAAGTACTAAAAATGTTCACAAATTTTAACGTTTATTACAACAAAATTGAAGTTCGTATGTGTTTTGATTTCCAGCCATAAAAGGGAAGCAACTGTAGTGCTATAGAAAACGATGATACCAAAACTGTGTAAAAGAAACCTGGTCTCTAAATATTAATAATTCGTCTATAAATTGGAAAGAAAAGAGCAATTTGGTCATGGCTAAAGATTTTTAATATCTGAACTGTTTACCAATTGGCTCCAAAATGATAATGAAATAATATTCCTTCTTGAATCTAAAAATGAAACAGAGAAAGTAAAATTGAAACAATAAATAAAGATAATAAAAAGTTTACATCAGGGAAGAAAATTGTTTCTTAAATATTCAAGTAATGATATCTACATAATTACAGTATTTATCTGTTATTTAAACTACCAATAATTGTAAATGGTTTTAATTGTGCAGTACAATAAAGAAAACATAACTGAATTTTAATACTGATATATTATTAGATAATAATGTACATTTTGTACAGCAAACATTGCTTAATCTGTAGTGCTCTTTCTTTGATTTATATTTTAGACTAATTAAAATATTTCTCTTATTTGAACAAATATTTAGTTATTTCTGAAGTTTGAACCTCCTTAAGACAGTAGTCAAATTGGCTGGGCACAGTGGCTCACGCCTATAATCCCAGCACTTTGGGAGGCCAAGGTGGGTGAGGGTGAATCATCTGTGGTCAGGGGTTCGAAACCATCCTGGCAAACATGGAGAAACCCCATCTCTACTAAAAATACAAAATTAGCCAGGCATGGTGGTGCATGCTACTTCAACATTATTTCAGGAATAGTTACAAAATAGAGTTAAATTCTGAAAAGTGTAATCTGTAAACAGAATAACACTGGACGTTAGTGCCAAATGTATTTACATTTCATTATACATGCCTTAGAGGGAGGGTTAGTAAAGAAAAATTAAAGTTGTTAAAGATAATAAGGCAGGCTTTATTCAAGGGGGTCCATGGTGACCTGAACCACTGCAAACAGGTCTTGCAGGAGGAGAGAGAGATTGGACTCTATTCCAACTCTTAAAAGGTCAAGTGGGGATTTATAAGCAAGGAGCAGGGTAAAGAGTTGTGGATATAAAATAACTATTCTCTCTCTTTCCTCTTTGGCAACTTGGAATTTAAAAAATGTAAGTCTTCAGTAGTTTCACTCAGAAAGGACAAGTTTCTAATGAGGAAGGAAACAAAGGCAGATATTAACAAATACTAACATTCATTGATTTCCCTTGCTACAAAGTTATAAGATAAGAAAACAATGAAGAGATAATATAACTCCCCAAATTGCAAAATCCATCAGTAAAAAGCAGATTCCTGCGAAAATTTTGGCAGGCACTGTGTTGAAGCCATTCTTCACTGCAGATTTGGAAGGTAGGGGAAAAAAAGCAACAGCAAGTTGCTGCCTTTCCAAACTATGGTAACTAAACCATATAGAGCCAGACAGATAGTCTACTGGTGAGCAGATAATATATTTACCAGACCATCCATCAGTGCAAGATGAATTTGCAGGTAAGGAATAAACTATTCATAAAAGCAAAGCTAATAACAGAAAATAATTTGTTTCATGCACTGAAAGAATTTTTTTCTAAAATAAAAATAAATGTACAAATAAATAAGAAAATAAGTGATATCTATACAATGAAGAAATGTCTCTTTTCCATTACTTCCACTGGTCAGCATGCTTCACCCTCCATGAACATACATGTATCCCTGACATGCTGCTAAAAGAATTGCAGTAAGAAGTTACATTCCTAAGTTGTATAATTCATAATAACTGTATAAAAGGTTATGGCGTCAGGAATCAAACAGATTTTGACTCTTCTGTGTACCTGTAATGATTTTCACTGACTTTCAACTGTTGCAACTCTTATTACACAGGATTGTAATTAGACTGTCAGGCCCTTCTTGGCAGGGACTGTCATTCAGTCCCCCCATCTACAGCCGTAGCATGGGTTTTTTCCCACAATAGGTGCTCAAAAATACCTTTTCTCAAAAAATATATATGAATATATGGTATTAACAATCTTGTCTTTCAAAATATTAAAACTGTCCAACTTTTAATAGGGCATAATGAGGCCCCTTTTTTGCTATATTTAGTATATTCTTTATAATCCTGAAGTAACTTGACTTCTCTGTATAATTTAATACTCTTGACCTGAAATTCTCTCTGTTGGTTTTCATGTCTGATATCACATTTTCTATTCACAACACCTCACCCATTCCACAACATTTCTCTCTCTTTTCTTCAATATCGTTCCTGGGGTCTTTTTTCTCTGTCTTTAAGGTAAATGGTACTGCTTTAACCTAGGATTCCATCTTAGGTTGCCTTTTTTCTCATTTTACACACCTTTCCTAGGTTGCCTTAATAACTGTTACTGTGTTAATCATCATCTGTCTTAAATTTAACTCTCTAGATGTAGACCCTAAGACAAGAATGTATGGAAAAGGGATTTATTGAGGTAGTGTTTCTAGGGACAAGGATAACGTTAAAGAAAAAAAAAACCCATTTAATGACACTTGCTGAAGTATAGTAAGACAGATTTTATTCAGACTATCACAGTAGGTATAGTGATTACTGCAAGGGAGTTTTGTAGTAGGGGAGAGAGATTGGGCTCAACTTCAAATGCGAAAAAACGAAAAGAAAGAGTGGAACTTTATATTTAAGGAGTGGGAGTGGAGAAAGGTAGGTGAATGGAAAATTTCAAAGAGGGCACTTCTGTGGTAAGAGGATAGTCTGGCTAAACCTACCTAACAAGATTCTCACCAAAGGCAGGCTGGAAGAGTCTAGATAAACAAACTTAGCAGGATTCTTAATAAAATTGGGCTGATGCAAAGATTTGACATGGAAATTCAAACATCGAGGTGAAGGAAGAGAATTGAGAGAAGCCTAACTAAAATTTGGTCAAGGAGAGACTCTTTGTCAGTACAGAAATAAAGAACATGGAACAAAAACAGTGCAAAAACAAAATGTAGCATGTGTCTTCAAGCAAACTCTCAGCATCAGCCTTATTTTCATGGAGCTCTGGAGCAAATGTTATACCCAGTTTTGTTCCCCTCAAGGCAAGGGCTTTTCTGTTCCTTCACCAGTCACTCATTGATCACCAGCAACAGAGGAGGGAAACAAAGAGACATAAACTCCCTTGGGGCCAGGGTCAGGCCCTGCTTCCTGGCATGCTGAATAGCTCTGGTGGCTCCAGAGTATGCCACTTAGGAAAAAGTCACAGGTAGAGGCTGTTACAAGAAAAGACTGCGGAAGTGGGGTCTGCTGGGTTGTGCACACAGAACTAGGCCATGGGCACAGAACTGGGATTCCAGAGAATGGGGAAGCACCAACAGAATCAGCTAGATATAAAAATGCAAATGACCCTGTAATCTCTCTATAGCAAAGATCTCTTCCTGAGGTTCAGACTTTTATTGCCAGCTCCCTACAGGAAACTTCCTCTTGGACATTGCACCTCTGATTCAACATGTCTAAATTTAATATGCCTTCCTTCTACATCGGCATCTCCTCCCTATCTCAGTGGAATTTCACGGTCATCCTATAATCAATCATAAGTCCATATAACTCATAGCATTCCTACTGCAAATGCCTTAGTTTAGGTCACCATCATTTCTCACTTGGATACAGGCATGATATCACCCTTTCTGGGGAATTCATACTAGAGAAATCTAACATGTCTTTTCTCAGAATAGATTTCATTTTTAGCTCCCCATATATTCATAGGAAAAAAGTTCAAAAAGTCTTTAGTACACCCTACCAGGCATTTTGAAGTCTGGGCCCTGTTTTGTTTCATACTCATTCCTTGTACCCATACATACCCTAACTCCTAAACATTTCTAGAAACATTACCAGCATTCTAGATCA